TGTTTTCTACTTGGATAACTGAATTTCAGCAGCCATTGCTCCAATATTCAGTATGACTATTAAGAAATTAAAAATTAAATTATATATTTTTTTTCAGCAAGGACAAAATAAATGGATCAAAAATGACAGCAGACTTATAATGATATGCTGTTCCTTTAAACTTTTTATTGATCAAAGAATCCTGGATCAAGGTTTCCATAAAAATATTAAGCAGCAAAAATGTTTTTTTAGCATTAATGGCCATAAGAACCAGCATTAATAACTGACCACCAATAATAATTGATAACTGAGAATCAAATCGGTGTATTAGAAGGATATCTCAAGGATCACGTGACAAGACAGGAGTAATGGCTGGAGTATTGGAGTGTAATACATTTTATTTTTTTAAATATATTGAAATAGAAAACCGCTTTCAAGACTTCTTGCAAAAACATTAAGAAAATCTTAATTATTTCAGACTTTGATGGTAGTGTATGGCAGCAGATCTTCTAGAATACTACATTCAGCTGTGTGCTTTTGGCTAGTGTAGGATGTTCCAAAAAATGCAAATGCATCATTTTGATCTTCATCAGTTTACTGCATGCAGTACATTTACAAGTCATTTTCCACACTCAAGTGCATTAGCGGCCCTCGGCCAGGTGGTGTCCCCATGGCTCCACTGCAGAACTAACTCACTGCTGGTAAAAACAAAAGCTAATGGCATTTCTGGGTCTCTCTGAGTGAATGCAGACTTCATCAGTCAGTCCCTTAAACTTTGTAGCACATTTGGATGTATGTGGTTATGAACATCAAGCCTATGTAGAACAACTGCTGTGAGAGTGACACATCGTCACAGATTTGCGCAAACCATACAAATAAATCCTGCTATACATTTATTTTTGTGTAGCATACATCTTTGTTATATGTGTGATTGTATAAGTACTTAAACCATCTCTAAACTCTTAATGGATGTGCTTGCGTTTGCACATGTACTCTATAAGCCCCCTTCATCATTCCGACCCTGCAAATTGTAATTATAATGAATAATTAACGCCAGCTTAGAGAGCACCTCATTATTTCCACTTAGCTTCCTATAAACATGCACACCTCTTCACTTTTATCCCTTTCCTCTCTTCCACTGCTGTCCAGATTTTAGACAGAGGAAGTCTCATTAATATGCCGGCTAGTTCGGCGGTGGGAAGGATGCAAAATAAGAGAGAGTGAGCAAGGAGTGAAATCCCGGAGAGAGGTGATGGCTGCCCCTACCATAATTAGGGTTAGCTGCAGCCATCATTGTTAACATGCTGCCTTAATTTGATGAGATGACGCTCTCTCTGACCCCACTTTCTCTCTCTTTCTCGTTTGCAATCTTATGCTCCATCTGCTTTGTGAGCTTCTCTTCCTTGATCCCTTGGTTCTTCACTCATTCTCTCTCTATCAAGCAATCACCAAGCTATCATATTCCTCTCTCTTTCTCATTGTCTCTGCTTTCTCACTTTCTCTACCTCATCCGCTCTCTTACTGTCTATCTTTGGCATTACCTCTTCCATTTGCGCCAGCTGAGAAGGGGGTCCCTCACTAAATCTTCTCTTCTATTTCTGTATGGACGAGTTCTAGAAATAGTGCAAGGTCATCATAATAATTAACAGCCAACTGAAATGGACAAATTAATCTTTCTTTCCCCCCCTCTTTCCCTTGCATTTCCCCCGTCTATGTCACTCACTCTAGCTCTATTCCTAAACCCAATGAACTACATCACTTCCTACTGTCTACATAGGCAGCTCTATATCCTAAGTGAAATTTATGAAACCTCATAAGCGAGTATTTTGGAATGACCTACACAGACGTAACTTGTGTGTTATACAAATAGCACTCTATAAGACCTTACAAACCCCTAACTTGGTGTACCTTGCATTTATCACTTTGCAGTACATTTTGGAATTGGCTTCTTTGCAAAGCAATGTATGCAGCGCTACCTTAATATTCGACCAAAACAGGATTGCAGAACAGGATTAAAATGTCTTTCAAAACAGGCTTGTCACCTATGTTGCCTAAAATGTTACCAGTGTAGGCAGCACACTAGGTTTTGGAACAGAGCTCCTGTCTCCCTTTCCTCCTCTTTCTTCATGTTCTGTTCTCCACAGTATTTGCCCTTTTCTATCCATCACATTCTGCTATTTCAGAGCGGCTGGAGTGCTGTGTATGAATTCTGTAGACTAAAGGAGGTCTCTCAGAGCTCTATTGCTGCTTTGGAGGCTTATGTTGGTTTGAAGCACACAGAGAAACCAAACACTCCTTTCTCTAAACAACTAGCTCTGTTTCCCTCATCTCTTCAAAACATCAGACTATAAATACTGGAGTGCCGAGCCTGTTAGCTGCGGACTGGTATTAGGAATCAGGCCTGCTTGAGTGTGTGAGTGTGTGCTTGACTCAATCCCTCTTTTCTTCAATATGTTTGTATGCTATCATATATATATATCCAAAACGGGTGTTTTGTTATCTATTTTTTTGGTTTGTTTTGTGTTTTTGTTTGCTTTTCGTTTAGTTTTCTTTTGTTTTGTTTAGTTTGCTTTTTATTTGGTTGTTTTATGTTTTTGTTTGCGTTTTGTTTCATTTTGTTTTGTGTTATTTGTTAGGTTTTTGTTTGAAGCAGTGCATCTAAAATGGGTGTTTTTTTTTGGTTTTGTGTTTTGTATAGTTTGCTTTTATTTGGTTTTGTTTTGTGTTTTTTTCTTTTTTCTTTTTTCTCTCTTGTTTTAGTAAGTCTTTAGAAAGAAAGAAGTTTCTGAGATGATGAGAGACATAAATTCAGTCAAATGTGTCCAAATTTGTGACTGGTAAATTGTAACCTGTCCATAATCACTTTGCGCTATGAATATTTTTTCTGTCTCCCTCATTCCTTGCAGGAGATGTACTCGAAGGGCCTGATACCTGTTTCAGCAGTTAAACAAGTTTGCGCTCTGGGTGAGAATAAGTTTGAGGTGGTCACCTCTGTAAGAACCTTTGTGTTTCGGGCAGAGAAAGAAGGTAAGCCTCTTTGCTTTTCTGTCTATCTCACATTTCGATCCCCCCTCTGCTAATCTCTTTTAAACCAATTCACTCTCACTCTTGATCTTTTATCATCTTTTCACTCATATTTTTATCACCTTACCATCTCTGCTATAAGATAAGATTTTCTGAGTAGATCTTTCACTGCACAACAAATCAGAGACAGAGTAAAAGAGAGATGAAAACTAAAGCCAACCAGACTCAAGGAGATCACAATATTATGACAGAACTGAAACAACCGAGACGATAATGATGATGATTGCTTTAGATTTAATATGTACAGTAAACACCCTGTTGGTGCATATAGTTGCCACACCATTGCCTGTGCATTTTATGGGATATTTTTCTTAATACTCATTACTAAGCTGCAATGAAGCCTGATTTAAAGACCGTGAAAAGGCCTGATTATGGTTTTAATAGAGAGACTCCATGGTGTTTAAGGAGTAGCCTGGTACTTTAGCTGCAATTCAGGATCAATTTAAAACTGTCAGCATTTAGTGGCTCTGAGGATAGTTCTAGTCGTGATTAATTGACAGTGTTACTTTAATATTACAGCTAGTTCATCAGTAAAAGCATTTTAGCATGATTTTGTGCTAATTATAGTTGAAAATGTATATATTTTTTGAAAAAAAAAATATTATAAAGTACTATAGTACTTCTATAGGTGGTACCTTAGCAGTGTCACGCTGTGTATCTGTATACCTAAGTATGCCATGTTATTTGTCATTATTTGTAAATTAAGCAAAAAATTAAGACCGGTGAGATTATTTTGCTTTTTCAGACACCTTGCAGTAAAAGAAACCGTGGTAGGGTGATGAGTTCACCATGAGCCAATCAGTTACCATGTTATTGACATGGCCTGTGCTTTCCCCGCTGCAATTACTGTGGTAAATCTGAGGTTGATAGCACTGCTATGTACCATAGTGTCTCAGAATATCAGCAAATAATGGCCTCCTCAGTACCTATTTTATCCCCAGTTCTTGTGTAATGACCTCTGACCCATGGTAAGTGAATTACTCTGAGGGAAGTCAGTTTAGGCATGCATTTAACAGTATTTTCCACTATCTAAAAAAAATGAGAGACAGAGAGAGCACTGGTCCGATCAGCTCATGCATCTTTTAACAGCTTTATAGCAGTCTGAAAGAGTCATCAATCTTAAAATAAACACAATAGAGGAGGAGAGAGAGAATGAGTGAGTGAAAGAGCTGGAAGTGGGTGGTCATGGGATGAGCACAAAAGATAAGAATGAGAATTAGTGTTAGAGATCGAGCACACTGGGACTCATTTATATGCGTGTGTGTGTGAGCAAACATTCATGGCTGTGTACTCTTTCTGGGGCAGTCCTCAGCTGTGCAGGTCTCTTCCTTCAGATAGAGTGTGATATTTTGAGAATAACAATGTTTTCATGGATAAAGGGGAAAAATATATTTTGCAGCCACCAATTTTTGACGTTTGGGACTTTGCAAAGTGCAGTTTGTAACCGTCTGTAAGGGTGTGTTGAAGCCATGGTCACTTACAGTGATAACTAGGCCTGTCAAAGTAAATTAAAATAGTTTAACACTGTTCCTTTTTTTCAAGAAAGCCAATATAATCTGCTATCTTTGCTCATGGTGATTCGTGGGTGTTCAGTTCTGCTGTCAGGTTGCTTTGAATCAGTCACCTGAAAATAAATGTGATTTTTACACTACTGTTCAAACGTATGAAGTCAGTAAGATTTTTTTTTTTTTTTTTTTAGTTTTTGAAGAATTCTTGCTCACCAAGGCAACATTTATTGATAAAAAATACAGGAATATTGTGAAATTTTGTTACAATTAAAAATGACTTGATGGAAACCATGATACATTTTGTTTTTCAGGATTGTTTGATGAATGGAAAGTTGAAAATAAAAGGATTTATTTGAAATTGAAATAGTTTGTAACATTACAAATATCTTTAGTGTTACTTTTGATCAATTTAATGCATCCTTGCAGAATAAAAGTATTAATTTCTTACTGATCCCAAACTATAATGCTTATAAAAATGGGATCATTCTAACCAGCCAAACATTTGACCTTGGTAGCTGATATTAATCAATAAATAATAGAGAAAATGTTCTTAATGGATTTAATCATATTTATAAACCCAGTTGGAATGTTTAATGAAGTAAAGTTATTTACACTTTTTTGTGGTGTTATTTAATTATCACCTACAAGTGAATCTTGCGGGGAGCAGTCTTGCAAAACAGCTTTACACATGTCCATAAAGTGTGAGCAAAGTTGTTATATTATCTCATTATTTCAGGTTTTTTATTTCAGTCTTTGCATTTCTTGGGCAGTGTGAGGAATACAGAATGAGATGTGTGAGTGAAACCATTGTGCCGTTGCCAAAATCTACCTCTTTCAGGTGTCTTTAGTTTATACATATATGCAGAGATCCTACATTTTTACATATTCTGCTCGTTCCTTAAAAATGAACACAATGAATTAACAAATAATTATGATAATATGATTAATCACAATTAAAAATGTAGTCAATTGACAACACCAAAGCATTAACAAAAAATTGAGTTAATAGAATAAGTGGAATTGGATAGATATGGCTACACAAACTAAACTTAAGGTGTCAAATGTGGTTACATATCTGATGCACCAACACCTACGTTGCACCTGAAAACTTTTGCTGACAAGCACAATTTGAGTTTTGTTCAAAAGACACTGTATGCAAAAACACTCACCTTTAATGAAATTAGATCTCACTCTCTCTCTGTCTCTTTCTCTTACCCCCCTTCTCTCACTCTCTAGATGTGGCAGGTTCTGCAGACCTGCAGAGGATAAGAGTATCCAGCTGTTAATGTTTTTTGGCTAGTGTGTGTGCTCGCAATGAATTTGTGCAAGCCCCTGTAGCCCTATTTAAACACAGCACAAGAGAACCCTCTCAGGCTTCCTTCCCCCATCTCATGCGCACACACAAACGTAGTTGCAGACACAATGCAATGAGACACAGGGGCTTTTGCGTACCTGCTTTGTTTGCAGATTTGAAAGTTTATAAAGTATAACAATAATATTAGACACTTTTTCCTTCCCTTTTATTCTTATGGCATGGCGTCTCTCCACACACGCGCACGCATACCTGCGCATTCGCTAACGTACATCAAACAGACTACAGCATTCTTCCACAGGCATGCATACTTCTTTTTCTTACCTCTCTCCGTCTTCTGTCTTCCCTCTAAGGAGAGCGTCAGGATTGGCTAGAGGTTCTCCAGTCTGCTTTGAGCTCCCAGTCCTCCATTTCCCATCAGCCTCGCAAAAATAACACAAACAAGAGTGGCTACGTCGAGCTGCGTGGCCTTAAAGGAAGAGTCTACCTCAGCCTCATGAGAACCAGCTTCAGACTCTGTAAAACAGACCAGGTAGATCTATATCTCTTTTTTTCTTCTTTTAGACACATGTTGGTCTAGATTCATACTGCTGCTGCCAGCATGAGTTCAAAATGAATTCAGATCTCTTGTCTGTCTCTCTGTAAACTCTATTACTTTATTACTCTGTAAATGAATTACTTAGATTTTTTCTATTTCTTCCTTTGTTTTTGTATATATAATTGTCCATCCATCCATCCATCCATGTCTGTCTACCTTCAAGTTTCATGTATCTTTCTGTCTGTCTGTCTACCTTCAAACTTCACTGTGCTAAAGCAGGGCACACACTACAAGATAATCAGGCCTACTTTGGGCCGAATTCTCCCCTTTTGACAATCTTAGGTAAAGTCCCAATTTTCTTGATAGTTCTGTGTGTTAAGAGTGATTGAATCTGCTCGGAAGCACATTGGAGTCACACCGATCTCAAATCATAAATATCCAGCATGTTGAATATTTACGTGATCAATTTAATGCATCCTTGCAGAATAAAAGTATTAATTTCTTACTGATCCCAAACTATAATGCTTATAAAAATGGGATCATTCTAACCAGCCAAACATTTGACCTTGGTAGCTGATATTAATCAATAAATAATAGAGAAAATGTTCTTAATGGATTTAATCATATTTATAAACCCAGTTGGAATGTTTAATGAAGTAAAGTTATTTACACTTTTTTGTGGTGTTATTTAATTATCACCTACAAGTGAATCTTGCGGGCAGCAGTCTTGCAAAACAGCTTTACACATGTCCATAAAGTGTGGGCAAAGTTGTTATATTATCTCATTATTTCAGGTTTTTTATTTCAGTCTTTGCATTTCTTGGGCAGTGTGAGGAATACAGAATGAGATGTGTGAGTGAAACCATTGTGCCGTTGCCAAAATCTACCTCTTTCAGGTGTCTTTAGTTTATACATATATGCAGAGATCCTACATTTTTACATATTCTGCTCGTTCCTTAAAAATGAACACAATGAATTAACAAATAATTATGATAATATGATTAATCACAATTAAAAATGTAGTCAATTGACAACACCAAAGCATTAACAAAAAATTGAGTTAATAGAATAAGTGGAATTGGATAGATATGGCTACACAAACTAAACTTAAGGTGTCAAATGTGGTTACATATCTGATGCACCAACACCTACGTTGCACCTGAAAACTTTTGCTGACAAGCACAATTTGAGTTTTGTTCAAAAGACACTGTATGCAAAAACACTCACCTTTAATGAAATTAGATCTCACTCTCTCTCTGTCTCTTTCTCTTACCCCCCTTCTCTCACTCTCTAGATGTGGCAGGTTCTGCAGACCTGCAGAGGATAAGAGTATCCAGCTGTTAATGTTTTTTGGCTAGTGTGTGTGCTCGCAATGAATTTGTGCAAGCCCCTGTAGCCCTATTTAAACACAGCACAAGAGAACCCTCTCAGGCTTCCTTCCCCCATCTCATGCGCACACACAAACGTAGTTGCAGACACAATGCAATGAGACACAGGGGCTTTTGCGTACCTGCTTTGTTTGCAGATTTGAAAGTTTATAAAGTATAACAATAATATTAGACACTTTTTCCTTCCCTTTTATTCTTATGGCATGGCGTCTCTCCACACACGCGCACGCATACCTGCGCATTCGCTAACGTACATCAAACAGACTACAGCATTCTTCCACAGGCATGCATACTTCTTTTTCTTACCTCTCTCCGTCTTCTGTCTTCCCTCTAAGGAGAGCGTCAGGATTGGCTAGAGGTTCTCCAGTCTGCTTTGAGCTCCCAGTCCTCCATTTCCCATCAGCCTCGCAAAAATAACACAAACAAGAGTGGCTACGTCGAGCTGCGTGGCCTTAAAGGAAGAGTCTACCTCAGCCTCATGAGAACCAGCTTCAGACTCTGTAAAACAGACCAGGTAGATCTATATCTCTTTTTTTCTTCTTTTAGACACATGTTGGTCTAGATTCATACTGCTGCTGCCAGCATGAGTTCAAAATGAATTCAGATCTCTTGTCTGTCTCTCTGTAAACTCTATTACTTTATTACTCTGTAAATGAATTACTTAGATTTTTTCTATTTCTTCCTTTGTTTTTGTATATATAATTGTCCATCCATCCATCCATCCATGTCTGTCTACCTTCAAGTTTCATGTATCTTTCTGTCTGTCTGTCTACCTTCAAACTTCACTGTGCTAAAGCAGGGCACACACTACAAGATAATCAGGCCTACTTTGGGCCGAATTCTCCCCTTTTGACAATCTTAGGTAAAGTCCCAATTTTCTTGATAGTTCTGCAGATTATCTTATAAGATTTTTCTGTGGTGTGGGGTGTGTTAAGAGTGATTGAATCTGCTCGGAAGCACATTGGAGTCACACCGATCTCAAATCATAAATATCCAGCATGTTGAATATTTACGTTCAGTAATCCTGTGTGGGGTATCCCGAGGACAAACGCAGACTCACACTGTAGACTGTCATGTGGAACAAAACAAGTCCCAATTTGAAAGCGAGCTGACAGAAGACAGAAGCATTACTCACCTCCAGATTTTTTGTCGTTATGTGTGTGGTCACATTGTGAAAATCTGATAAGATTTTAAAAATCTTTTATTGTGAGCCTTAAGCCATTGCTTTGACCAGTCTGTATGTCTGTCTATCCTCATGTGGAACAAAACAAGTCCCAATTTGAAAGCGAGCTGACAGAAGACAGAAGCATTACTCACCTCCAGATTTTTTGTCGTTATGTGTGTGGTCACATTGTGAAAATCTGATAAGATTTTAAAAATCTTTTATTGTGAGCCTTAAGCCATTGCTTTGACCAGTCTGTATGTCTGTCTATCCTTCGATCTTGTGTCTGTCTGTCTCTCTGTACACTCTATTTATATCTGTTTAAACTTTATTACTCTGTTGAATTACTTACATTTTTTCTTATTCCTCCTTTGTTTTTGTGGAGATAATTAGGCACTGTTTTCTCAAGGTAGTGAAATAACTGAAACTTTTACACTTCGTGTTTAAAAGTCTGTTTTGTGCTCCCTCCTATGTGAATGAGCCCATATGCTGAGAGTGTAGTTATTATAATGCACACACAAGCCCTGACATTTTGCGTGCATATGTATGTGATCTATGCCCAATTGGTCTCAGTTTTAAATGAGATTAAGCTGAGAATGTTATTCTGTATGAATAGGCGGCACACACGCTCCCACACACTTTATCATCTCTGTTTGTCTTTCATTATTTTCCTTATTAGCACAAGCAAACATCTTTGTCTTCATTCTGCAAGGAAATAGTTTTTCGTCAGCCGATTTAGCATGTGGGAGAGAGAAAGAGAGCAGTGAAAATGGAAATTGATTGTATTGTGTTTGCATTAAATCCTCTCTGTGGCAATCACTCCGACAAGTGGTGAGAGAAACGGGAGGGAATGGAGGAAAAGAGAGTATGGGGAAAGAAAATGAATGAGGGAAAGAGGGAGTGAAAGAGGAACTGGGCAGAGAGAAAAGAATGGAGGGATAACGGGGGAGGTGAAGATGGCAGTGGCTGTTGAGGGATGAAGAAAACACAAAAGAGCATAAAGATGGAGAGAGAGGAAAAAGGTGTGGTGGTGGGTAGCTTAGTTCATGTTCAGTGAAGTGGAGTATTTAATTTAACAAGATGAACGAGCTGCCCAGGATGCTGGTTTTTCCCTCCTTTCCATCTTGGAGAGGATGTAGTGTGCTGCCCTTCTCTCCTCAGGTCAGGTCATGATGTTTTCCCAAGGTAATGTAAGTCAACCTAACAGGCAAGCCCAAGTCACGTGACACCGCAACAGTTTAGTGCTACATTGATTTTTTGAGTTCCTTACTTAACCCTTTGGTGCTCTTCGGTCACTTTTGACCGAAACATTTTCTGTTTTTAATTTTTTTAAATCACCGTGGAATGGTACAAAACTTGGTGACTTTTATGGCATTTGGAATGTGAACACACAAAAAATTGAGGGCATGATTCGAGCAGACTAAGTGGTCGTAAAAAAATTGTCACACTTGTGGTCTTCGGTCAAAAATGACTGACCATAGGAAATTAATGGGAAATCGACAAAAACACAACAATTCTGTCAATCTACAAATCTGACACAATGCAGAAATAAAGTACACAGCAATGACAGGGTGAAACTCTAAAGCATAAAGAGTGCAGAACCAACACATCCACTCACACACACACGCGTACACACACACACACCTATGAACTCGTGTGACTGTAACACAGCAAATATGTAAAAAATTGGACAGCAAGGAAGGGGTTACTGTAACGTGGCTGACGAGACGTGAGACGTGCGGATCCATGTGCAAGCTTTATTCACAGGCGTGGTCAGAAACAGGCATGGGTCAGACAATGTAAAACAGGTATATGGTGGACAAGACACAAGAATAATCCTAGGGCTAGCGAAGGTCAACGAACGGCGAACAGAATCAAAAAAGGGCGAGACTAAAGGGATATATCCAGGAAACTAGGCAAGGATCAGAAACCCGAGAAAACAGACAAGGCAAGACTAGGCTAAGGCAGGGTAAACTAACGAGGGCTCTGTAGTGTAGCTATCAAATGATAAGCGCTAAACAATACTCGGCGGCAGGAAGGGATCAGAGTGAGTGTTAAATAGTGAGTGAGTGATATGAAACAGCTGTGTGCAATCAGTGCTGTGTGCAATCAATAAAAAACAGCTGTGTGCAATCAGTGCTGTATGCAATCAGTGCAATGAATGATGGGATATGTAGATGATATGCAACAGTGTGTAGTGCGAGAGTCAATGAAAATGTAAAGGGTGACCTCTGCTGGCTAGCAGACGGACGTTCATGGACTGGATACCTAACAGAGCTCCCCCCCCAAGAGCAGCTTCCAGACGCTCCAAAACACTTTACGATTCCGGAGGGCGGTGGAGTAGAGGCAGAACAGGGGGAGGGATGGAGGACCAGGTCCACCTGGAAGTGGAGAGACAGGGAACGGAGGCAGAACTAGCGGAGTAGAGAGCCAGGGCGGAGCCAGCAGTACAGGTGGAGCAGAGAACCACCAGAGCCAGACAGCAGACCACCACGGCGGGGCAGAAGACCACCACGGCGGAGCAGAGGAGCACCACGGCGGAGCAGAAGACCACCAGAGCCAGACAGTAGACCACCACGGCGGGGTAGAGAACCACCATGGCGGAGCGGAAGGAACAGGGAACCCTCCCGGTGAACCACACCGATCAGGAGACCATGGTGGAGACTGTAACAATGAGAAAGCCAGAGACAGACAACACAGACCGAACATTGGGGTTGATAGATAAGACTGAGCATTCAGGGGCAGCCTCCCTGGCTGGGTCGGGACAGGACAAAAGTTCACAAACGACCTCCTTGGCCGAAACAAAGCAAGCAAAGAATTGACAAACAGCCTCCATAGCCATGACAGGACAGGATGAGAATTCCCCGACAGCCTCCATAGCCGTGACAGGACGAGCAGGGAGTTCGCAAATGGCCTCTATAGCCGTGACAGGACGAGCAGGGAGTTCGCAAACGGCCTCTATAGCCGCGACAGGACGAGCGGGGAGTTCGCAAACTGTCTCTATAGCCGCGACAGGACGAGCAGGGAGTTCGCAAACGGCCTCTATGGCCGTGACAGGACAGGCAGAGAGTTTGCAGGCAGCCTCCTTGGCTGGAACAGGACAGACAGAGAGTTCATAGGCAGCCTCCTTGGCCGGAACAGAACATGCAGAGAGTTCATAGGCGGCCTCCTTGGCCGGAACAGAACAGGCAGAGAGTTCATAGACGGCCTCTTTGGCCGGAACAGGACAGGCAGAGAGTTCATAGATGGCCTCCTTGGCCGGAACAGAACAGGCAGAGAGTTCATAG